TATGTCTATGAAGCTAGAATATCAGTTCTTCAAACTCCTAAGCCCGTACGTGACACATTATTAGATTTTAAAAGCCTATTGTCTTAGATATTATTACGAGGAATCGATCTATTGTTCGATTCCACGTATTTCACGTAATTAATGCAGTTCGATGGCTTAGCATCGATTACAGGTTAATAGATGTTGTTTTCATATTTTAGGTATATTCGTTCAGCCATGATACAACGCTGAAAATCTAGACTAACTTTGTCACGACTAACGTACTTACTGAGTTGGAGACCTTTTTGGAACACTTTGTCCTTTTGTTTCTACCATTTATAATATTTTGTTTGCCAAATAAACCATCAGGGGAGCGCAAAGTGGGGTAATTTCTAAAAACAGTTGAATTTTTCAGGAAGAGTTTTAAATAAGATGAATTCATGAAGAACCGACGACCTGATAAAGGTAGCAGGAAGGCACTGGATGCAGGCCGCTACCAACCGTGCGATGTGGATGTCATTGAGGGAGGCCTATGTTCAGCAGTGGACATCCTGTGGCTGAAATGATGATGATGAATTCGTGAATAACTTTTACTAGAGAGAGAATCAATTAACAGAAAATAGACCTGAAAATCCCTTTCTGAAAATTTCCTGAACATGAGAAAAAGTTGTTCTGTGCAATTCGAAATGGCTTCTATGAAAATAATGTATTATGATGGAAATTAATGATTAAGGTTCTCAAATGGCGATCATGGATCGGAAGACGTACCTACTATGGTAGACCCCCCTCCAAGTAGACCTATGATCTGATTAAAGGTCGCGGAAAGCACCTGGATGGATTCAGACAGCGCAGGGCCAATCGTTGTGGAAATCCATGAAACCCTTTGTCCAGCTGTGGACTTCTTTTGGCTGAAACGACGATAACTAACTACACTATGCTTTCCGAGTCTCTATGTAATGTTGATAAGCTATTATTTTACAAAAAGCTGCCCATATACGAGCACCTAAGAGCTAACCATTCATTTTCTTATACTAGTCCATAACTATAATCCCCCCAAACCGGATATCTCGCATTCCGTCCCACGCAGGCCGGATACGAAACCAATTACTGGTGTGAACATCGATACCGGCAGAATAGATGTGTGCCTTCGCCTGTCCGCGATGACTGGGCGAAAAACAAAACAATGCCCATAGACAATCGCGCCAAATTTCCAAACAAACGCTACAGATACGACCACGATATTATCTTTTAGAAGTTTTAAGCTGAGTGTACATTTTGTGATCGAAATGCCTAGGTACTTGGAATTTACTTAAGGGGGTCCTGCACAGAATCCTTAAAATTGTCATATTTTTAAATCACGAGTGCTCTGCGATTAGTGACTTAAATACATCAAAGTAACTTGTGTAGGGTAGCCCAATCCTTGATCTAGGTCGCCGCCTTTTCGAAATTTTGAATAAATACGTAAAAAATTGATAAACAACATTTAAAATGCAGACGTATGGAAAATTTATTTCTTCGAGAACTTTGTTAATTTAACGTATGAAGCAATAATTTTTATATGGAAATGTTTAAATTAATGTTTTGAAGGTCGCCCCCTTTTTCGTTTTTGGTATTAATGCATTAATATTGAGAATTTTTGATTTTATGGAAAATTTATTTCTTCGAGAACTTTGTTAATTTAACGTATGAAGCAATAATTTTTATATGGAAATGTTTAAATTAATGTTTTGAAGGTCGCCCCCTTTTTCGTTTTTGGTATTAATGCATTAATATTGAGAATTTTTGATTTTCCCAAAAAAACTTTGCCGTGAAGAAATCATCAGGCGTTTTGCTTTATCGTAGCTGTCAAGTGTCAAATGTGTGTTTGTCAATCCTTTACAGAGTAGTGTAGAGCGCAGAGCATGCAAATAGTATCTCTTTTGTTATGACTTCGATTGTTACGAAAAAATATTTTACTTATTTTATAGTTAATATGGCTAGAAAACCCTTGCAACCTTTCTTTGCCGTTCGTTCGTTTCAGCCGAAAGACGTCCACTGCTGGACTACAGTACAAAGTAGACACGAATTTTGCGTACTGAATACAGTCGTGTTTAATTTTTATTGTGGATGCTCGCTTCTCCGTTTCAAACTAACGTAAGTGCGCCTATTAACGACCCCCCAAAATTTGTATTCTATTACCGCCCTATTTTTCTTTCTTTCATAAAAGACATAATAACAGGTTCCAGAAAACACGTTACCTAAAAAATATCTAGATATGTTTATTGACTATCAAATTAATTAAAGTTTGTGTTCGTAAATAACCAGTAAACGAAGTTATTTGATATTAAATGGGACGCGCCCGCAACGGATGCACTTTTCANGCACCCCCTTAAACTTACTCGTACTTATTTAAGTAGACCTTTATTTAATTACAATGGTTTCCTTTGTGTAAAATTTTCAGTTTTTCTCTGAAATTAACCTGAAAAACGGTAAAATTATATTTTTTTCCTGTTTTTCTGCTGCTGCAAAGATAGTTCCAATGACAGTTAAGATTTAATACATTCAAGATAATAATATGATAAAAATTAAACGAAATAATTTAGGCATTAGTTAACGTCATAAACGTGTATTTAAAACTTTTTCGTTAAAACAAAATATAAGAAACTCTTTAACTTTTTCACTTGTTAGAAGCTAACTTTTAATCGTTAAAAGTGTATTATCAGCCTTAAAACTGCGACGTAATCCGTAAAAAAAACAAAGGCTAATAAATAGTAAAGTGGAAAGTGACAAAACAATATGTAAATAACATTATTTAGCGTTGTGCACAGTCATCGAACCAATTTGTAGGTTCCTTCCACAGAGCTTATTGGTTGTTAGGAACAGGGCGGCTGTGGATACGGCGTTGTGAGATTTTTTTCAAAAGATCAATTTACTAACTTAAAATAACTGTAAATTTTAATCACGAGCAGGCCTCACACTAGTTGGACCGACGATCTGGTGAAGGTCGCGGGAGGTGCCTGGATGCGAGCGGCGCAGCAGGATCGGTCTTCGTGAAAATCCTTAGGGGAGGCCTTTGGCCAGCAGTGGACGTCTTTTGGCTGAAATGAACGAACGAACGAACGAAATTTTAATCACACTCTGTAAATGGTGATTGGATGATACTTGGAAGTCGAGAAGATCGATTCTTTGGGAGAGCACTTAAAACAGTAATGAAAATATTCGCTCTACCTTTTAACTAAGTAGGCTACAAAAATATCATTATTTCTGCAAATCTGTCCAGAAGTAGAGACTAGTTTAAAATGTACAGCTGTGTTGATGATAATTATATCACATACCATAATTGCTACAAAGTAATCAAGGTAGAGAGGTTCTATGTAACTGGCTGAAAAACTAATTCATTCGGTTTCGTTGCTACAACTAGTGAATCTATGGGGACTATTCCCACCTCTCGTTCCCACCGCTGCACCTCCTGTGTAGCCAGGATCTACAGCTTGACCGCCAATAAAAACCCAACCAATGAAGGTCAAGTTTGTCCAGAGGAAAGTTACTAAGTGAATCTACCGATGGAAAAAAAGCATTTAAGAATAAAATCGACTCCACGCCACCCATGTCATGTATCTGCATTTTGAAATTGGAACGGTGCGAGCCATAGACAATAATGATGGTATCATGGCCGTTTAGCATAGTACAAGCCGTTTGGCAACGAGGCCCGGACCTGTTTGTTGTTTCAATCAGGGATAAGAATGAGGACAGTGAAAAACACCATATCTTATTATACTCAGACAGACCCCTCTTTACCACTGGGCACGCTGGGCAAGTGCCCAGGGTCCCGCGATCAAGAGTGCCCCCGTCTGCTCTCAAAGAAAGAAAAAAAAAAAAAATTGATACTAATAATAGATTGATACAAAATAACTTTTAAAGACCAAAAAGAATAAAATTGTTGTATGAAAATTGGTCTCTGCTCAATATGAGGCCATAACTTACTCGGGAGCAAGTACGGCCACTGGTATTCTGCAGAAACCATGAGAGAGGGGCGCGTGGCCACAGCGAAAAGTTATTTTTCAAAATGAAAAGGGCCCCGTTGATCCTGAAGTGCCCGGCCTAGTAGGTTAAAGACGGCCCTGAATAAACGGAATAGGTGAGAATTATTATCCTTGGAAGTTTGAACAAGAGGCAGAAGCCTCTACAGGGTGTCCTAAAATTAGCACGTCACACTGACACTGGAGGTAGCTGGGTCTAAGACGTATCGAACAAGCCTAATATGTCCATAGAAAAGTTTAGTTTTGAAAGGTGACTGTATTAGTATTTTTTTAAATGGATCTAATTGAATTGTTCGATGCGTCTTATGGTGACAGTGTGACGTGCTAATATTGGGACAACCTATATATTTTTGTTTAAAAATATCACTTACGACAACTGCGTAAGATGTATAACTTCTGCACAAAGTGCGAAATTAATACAGTAAGGTAGAGCTTACTAACAACAACTCTTACTTACTGCCCCCCTAGACAAAACGCACTTTTTGATCGAATCGAAAATCGAATCCGTCAAAACTCCATACAAAAAAGGGGCTTTTCGACCACTTTTCGACTGGTTTGCGATTATAATTTGCACTTTGTCTAGACCCACAGCTACTATCAGTCATTCCAGTAAGTAGGTAGGGGTACACTGCTTGAAGTTTGCTTGTATTAGAAGACGACGATTATTATAAAATCATCACTTATGAATAGAGTCAACATTACCTTGTATAATTAATTTACTTATGAAATCAGGAAGCTCTACAATTTAAAAGTATGCCTTTTTAAGGAACCGACACCATTCCATATAAAAAATAAATACGTTGAGGTAATAATGAAGTGATTAACTTATATTTTTGGGGAAAATAAAGCTTACCATAGTTAAAAGTACATTTAATTTTGCTAATAAACGCGTCTCTACAATGAAGAGTTTAGGACTTATACCGCCATCTAGCGGCGAGTAGCGGAACGATTGATCTATTTATAAAACTTAACCTTGTCTATGGCACTTGGCAATGTATGAAGTTCAATTTTGACAGTTGTAACCAGTGGTCATCGTATTTTTTATACCTCCTTGCAGTTTGATACCAAAATATTAGTTATTTGCAAAGTGGTATTACGTGTGCACGATGAAAATACGATCCCACGCACTCCGGGAAAGGTGGAATGCGGCCCGCTAGCAACGGTGAGACAACTATTTCTAGTTACTACTAACGTAATGACCATATTTTTAACTGATTAAAAAAAACTGTAGTCAATTGGTTGTTAACCTTTTAACTGAAAGCGGGAGTCGCGTAATTTGACGCTGTGTCGTTTATAATTCTATTACGAATCAGACCGCCGCCGCATACATTACACTGTCTATCTATTGCATAGTTTAGCTTCTCAACATAAAAGTGTAATCTACTTTATCATTCAAATTGTTTTGTTATCTTTTATTGAACAAAAAATCGCTTTTGAACCGTTCATCGGCTTTAAACTGACTGATAAAAGCTAACTGATGCAGTTATCGCGTTAATTTCGTTAAAAATAATCAGTTGGTGGTATATAGTGATCATTTTCGCAGTGACGTATAGATTATAGATACCGCTCTTTTTGTTATTTATCTATCTGGACTATGAAAAAAGGTCTGTATACATTTTCGTATATTCTTTTTAATTTATTTTTAAAGTGTTTAAAAGCAATTATTTCTTAATCACCAGTACATACACAGTTTTAGCATATTATTAACTTTTTTAAGGAATTAATTAACATTTCCTCCAACTTTTGGAGCCAGTTATAACTATAAATAACAAAAAACCACTTCTATGATAAGATAACAACTTATAAAAACTAAGCAGGCATCTAAAAAACTTGTAGTTTAGTAGAGTCGCAAAAAAGTTTTATTAATTTTAAATTAATGCTACGATACAAGGAATAATACTATCAAAACTGATTTTAAATTATCACTAATAAGTCCCAGGATGGCTATTTTAACTGTTATTGTTGTAAATTGTCAATTTTGTTATAATAAATACATTATTATAATTTTTTAATAATAATTTAACAACTTATAACCAGAGAAACTTAGAAAAAAACTTTCTTTGGTTTTTAAAACATATTTTTTTGATAAATATTCTGTTTTCTTCCTTCCTAGCATCATTATAAACCCTTAAATTGTTAATATGTTTCTATTTTCTTTATTTATTTGTTTAAAATACTTTTATTTTTGTTCTTAAGTTATGTACCTTACTTTTAAAGTGATGGATTTTGATAAAAAATTTAAACCCCCATTTCTAAATATGTATGTTACAGTAACTAATCTAAATAAAATACTTCTTAATGCTAGTTGTTTGAAAGATTCAGTATATTTTGATATTCAATATCAGCGTAGAGATATTATTTTAGCTCTACAATAATAACAATTTTACTATTATCATTATTAATGTTTTATTTATTTGTTGAATGTCATAATTTCAAGTATTATAACAGAAATTTTATAAAAATAGTTAATAGTTTATGTATGCCTTGAGAGATTTTATGTCAAGCCATTTCCTTTGGTATGCCTTCATTTCTTTTGAGGTGTGTGTGTGTTTGGTTTCATAGTGCTTAGATAAATAGGCTAAGCTAATTAAAATAATAAACTATCAGTTTTCAAATGTGTTTCATAGAGTCTGGACTGTGGATACAGCAGTGGCAAGTTTATTTTAAGGCAGGCAATAGGTACTACATAATGCTAAAGCTCTTAAATATTTAACATCAATTGAAGTGTATCTTGGATCTATGTAATTCTGTGATAAAATAAAATAGTAGCCAGTTATAGTGATCCAAATAGTTTTTTATAGAGCAAAAGTTTTTTATAAACTCACCACTAGGCAACAGTTGTTAATTAATCACATCTTAACTACTTGAAAGTTAACTGGTTTTAATTATTTTAATTATTTGAAATTTAGTTTATTGACGCTATAAAATCGACTTTCTGGTGATAGGGCCCGTATTACAAGACGAGTCCCAAAACTAGAGAAGTCTTGGATTGCTAGAATTTTAAGATTTTTTTTTAAAAGTACATACTAGGTGCATAGACCCGTTAACCCCTCGTGGTAAGTTAAATATGCTTGCGTTACGAGTAGATTCCCTTGTCGCGGAAGTCTAAGGCCCAGAACAGACGGTGAAACGCAACTGCAACGAAACTGCAACTTTCTGATGATTCTGATGAATGAAACTGAAACTGACTTCAAACTGGTCGCGTCATGTGTGGTCTCTTAACGGACGCTATGGCAGAAACTTAGATGCAACTCATAAGTAACTAGCAGTTGCAGTTTCGTTGCAGTTGCGTTTCACCGTCTGTTCTGGGCCTAAGGCTACGGCTGGATACTCGCGACACCCCCACTCGGGCGATGACGGAACGTCGCGAAAGTTTTAGTGGGTATACCCCGTCCTTTTCAGGACGGAGCAGCGCCCTTTTCAGGCCGGGAGTCCCACACACCACCCTGTCCCCCCGCAGTGGTGACGGTGCGTAAAGCATTTCCTCTGCGACCCAAAAAAAAAACGAGTAGATTTCCTTGACGAGTAGATTAACCGCCTCTGTGGTCTAGTGGTTACACCACCTGCTTCAGACGCAGAGGTCCCGGATTCGATTCCCGGTGGGGGCAGAATTTTCTGTTCGGTTTGGTTGGTGGTAGGGCTTGTTCCAAGTCCGCGTGGCTAGCTACTACCATCTTACCTACGTCTGTCGCCATAACAACAATGTTAACAGCATTGTTGTGTTCCGGCAGTTAGAGGTAAGATAGCCAGTTCCTCTGTGGTTGAGGATTCCGGGTGAAGCTCGCTTCCACCTTCGGCCTGATTATCACTTACCATCAGGTGAGATACAGACCAAGAGCTTCCTCGTTGTGGATATATATTTTTTTTAAATCCCGGTTTATCACCCTAGTCGAACGGTAGCGGGGTTCGAACCCGCGTTCCTCGGATCTCGATTCGGCCAGTCCAACACCTACACCATTGGGCTATCACTCTATCATTTAAGATTGAATATTGCTGTAACTTAACACGTTGTTGACTTGTGTAGACGTTACTTCAACTAGAGTAACGCAGTTGTTCCATCGAGGAGAAAATGATTTATCAACTATTTTTTCGTTAAAAAAACTTTCATAAAGTTTTATTTTGGACATTTCCCGTACTCTCCTGCTTTACGAAACGATCCCAACGCCCAGACTTATATTATTTATGGGATCGATCATCTAGGGCAGTCTTTCCCAAAGTGGGCGATAACGCCCCCTTGTGGGCGCTGCAGGATTAGAGGGGGGTGGTAAGAGACCCAGAAAAAAAATCGGGACGTTACGTCTAGGAGGACTCTTAGATACCAACTGAGCACTCGACACTTGACTACAAATGGGGGCGCTAAAAAGAATTTATTCTCAAAGTGGGCAGTAGACAAAATAAGTTTGGGAACCGCTGATCTAGGGTAATCTAGATGATTGACTGAAATTTTAGTTTCGGCCATTCTCGGCCAAAAAACTTCCTTTGGCTTCGACTAAAAAGCCGAATTTTTGGCCGAAGCCTAAAGTTTCTAACAAAAGTAGAAACCAATTAAGAAATGCCAAACTTAATTGCCAGAGGGTGGGACACATAGTTTCTAGAACTGACGGCCGTTGGGACAGAAAAGTTCTCGTGTGGTGACCAGAAGACTTAATGTAGGCAGTCTTCGCACTCGGTGGACCGACGATCTGTTGAGGGTCTTTCTTGCAGTCATAGATGAGACGAGTGATCTGATGAAAGTCACGGGAAACGCCCAAATGTAGGCAGCGCCGCGGACCGGTCTTTATGGAAATCCTTGGGGGAGGCTTATTTTTTTAAAGATAATTAGTAATTTGTTGTTTCACAAATTACTAATACTCCCGTTAGCCCCTCGTACTAAGCTAAATATGCTTCTGTCACGAGTGAGCTCACCACAATAGTCGAGCGGCGGTGGGGACCGAACCCGCGTTCCCCGGATCACGAGTCGGCCAGTCCGACCCTTTCACCGTTCGGCTATCGTGGCTACAAAATTCTTTGTCCATCATTGAACGTGTTTTGGTTGAATCAAACTATAGAAATGAACGTTAAAGGTGCGCCAAAATACCACATGCCAACTAGATTTTTCTCATCACGCAACTATATCATGCTAATCCAGTTACCTCTCTCAGGCCTGATTTGACCAAACTTTTATCCGAGAATAACTCCTGGTATAACTGGCAAATTGACAGTTTCACTATGGGAAATAATGTCAAAACTGACGATTTATTCTGAGATTAATATTTACTCTTGTTTGGTCGAATCCACCCTCAGACTTGTCTGGAGAACGCTTGCGAGCCATAAGACCGTCTTATTTGTGATGTACCTTTTTGTTTCCCTATTGTTTTAAATAATATTAAGGGACTATTCCCACCTCTCTTTCCCACCGCTGCAACTCCTGTGTAGCCAGGATCTACAGCTTGACCGCCAATAAAAACCCAACCAGTGAAGGTCAAGTTTGTTCCGGGGGAAAGTTAAACTGTCATTGGACCCGCAACGAAATTAATCAGAAGAACATAGGAGGAGTTCGAAATTAAGGATCGAATTCTCTTCAGTGCAAAGCTTAAACACATTATTTTTTAAAGTGTATTGCTTAAAGAATATTAGCAATCTGTTAATACAAATTACTAAAAAGTAATCCCGTTAACCTCTTGTGGTAAGTTTGTGAACTACAAGTGAGTCCACCACAAATAGTCGAGCGCGGCAGCGCCGGGGATCGAACCCGCGTTCCTCGGATCACGAGTCGGCCCTTGAGAAGCTCCCCCTTTCGACCATATAAAAAATTCCGCNNCTCTCTCTCTCTTCCAGTCAAGATTATTTATTGGTCGTATCGAGCAGTCTGGAATGCATTCTCTCAGCGGTCGCAGGTTTCTTACAGATGACAGACGCCCCCCACTTTGGGAACCAATGGTCTAGTTAAATACCTAGTGGCCCTTATATTGACTTTTCATAATAGCATACCTACTCTAACGTAAAACTTTTCCAGAAATACTGACTGTTGCTACAAACAAATAATGTATCTAAGGCTGAGTTGCACTACCTAACTTTAACCGTAACCTATAACGATAACCGGTGTTTTTGTATGGAGTTTCACAGATTTTACTTTTGTCACAGTTCAAGTAAGATTGTACAACCCAGCTTAAGACCAAAAAC